AAGGAGGAAGAAGGAGAACCAAAAATTCTCTGGTTTATTTTCCTTGCGCGCGCCCCCGCCCGGGGGCTCCACCCCGCACAACATGTTGTGGAGCCTCTATCAAGTCCCGCAGCCGGTTGTGGCCCCCCGCACCCTCCCCCGAGGACCAGGGGGGGGGGGGGGGGGGGGCAGGCGCGTGAAAAATCACGCACACTCAGTGAGAAATTACCCGCACGTGACCGCAGAAGACTCCAAAAAGGCAAAACGAGCGAGAGGATCAAATGAAAAGCCGCAGGAATTCTTCCCCGTTTCTTCCCGCGCAGCTTGAGCGAACGTGCATTCGCACTCGCGCGCATGCACGCACGCGCCCCGGTCTGCAGCGAGGCGAGGACAGTCGGGCACACGCGCAGACACGCGCCGCGCGGCGTTTGACGTCGTCTCTCACCCCGCCGTAACCTTTCACGCGTGCAGCCGCACAGGAGTGCACGTGCACGCGCGCGCGTACTCAGGCTGCCCGGCTGAAAGCGCGTGAGGAGAAAATGAGAAACGCCAGTGAAGAAATGGGTGTGTACGCGCTGGGGGCGGGACCAGGCACGTGATTGACAGCCCAGGTGACCACTGAGTCGCGGCGCATCATTTATGAATGTAAGAAATCAGCTGTTAATGAAAGAAACGAGAATGTTCTACACACACCGACCTGCTCAAATCATTTAGGATGGATGGACCTTCTGTCTGCGGCGCGCCACCCGTTCCCACAATCCTTAGCGTGTAACCACACCTGTTTACCACGAGGTAGCACATCCAGTCAAAGGTCCACGTCCTCGTCTCTGGGACGAAAACACCACTAAGTCTCACACCGTTTGTCCCTTCGTTGACCTGTGATGATGGAGACAGATGAACCCCCTGGAGGAGACGGAGGAGACCTTTGGATCATCTCATCACAGCTCTTTGTCTCCACCTGGAGGTGACGTGTGAGGATGCACGTTAGCGGTCATGTTGTCGACAGGTATGATTGTAAGATAATCCTCAGAGTAACTGCAGAATATACATTTAATGCAGTACAATGAACAGTGTACAGAAATGAAACTGTACAAATAGAAATATTTAACAGTAAAGTACCAACATGTGAAGAAATGTGAACAAGTTCAATTTGACGGATTTTATTCAAACATTTTTCTATTTTCTAAATATATTGACCTCAAACAGCCTTTGGGATCGGTGCTATTGTGGGTATAATGATTTAACCGGGGGGGGACACATAGACACACTTTCCTTTATTGAAATAATAAATACAATTAATGAGATACACATCAGGTCTTTAACAGTTTATTCTTTTAAAGACGTTTTTCTTGTACATTTGGCTTTAATCCAATCATTTTTTCTCTTGGTTTGACACATTCGGCGTACGGGACTGTTTGCGTGGGACGGCATGAATGAATGTCCCCTCTGGGGAGCTTCTCCGGCGGATCTCCTCAAAGAGGCCAGAAGGAAGCCGAACAAGAAGCTGAGCAAACAAACAGGAGCTCTGGTTCCTCTTTCGTCTCCTCGTCTTGGTTTTGTTCTCTAAACCGGCGAGTGAGGAATGCGTTTCCCTCCAGCTGGAGACGCCAGGACGCCCGTTCCCCAGGTGGAGTTACCTCACCTCGCGGTTCGTGGACGGGTCTGCAGGGATGGGGGGGGGGCGACCTGCCTGTGATCAGTCGTCACTTTATTTCCCATCAGGCAGCAGGAGAACACAGTTCAACGCTGAACACGTTTTAACTCAATTTGTTGAAGCTGAAGCTGAACTGAGCGGTGAAAAGATGAGCAGCCGGTTGGAGTGAAATATTTCCTAATGGACCAGAAATGACCACCGAGACGTCAAAAGGGTGAAACACCAGCCGTGTCCCAGGAAACCGTCTGATCGGTTCCACACATGAGAACGTTAAACGCCACTGAAGCGTGAAGACAACATCCGCTGGTTATTACAATGATAATATATCAGAAATAGAGCAAATAGGGCTTTTATGTCATTGCTACGTTCATAGATTTCTGCTTTGGACAGCTGGTCGGTTAAAACATTTGACGAGGCTGTTTTTCCTTGTTTCTAGTCTTTGTGCTAAGCTACGCTAACCAGCTGCTCCGCCTCATGGTCTCAGTCTCTAGTTTCAAGTCTTCTTTAATACGGCATGATGTTCATTTAGTTCATTTAAATGAAGCAAGAGTCAAACAGACCACGAAGCAGATGCTTTAGGGCGGGGCTACAGGCTGATTGACAGGTCTTTCTGTCCTCCTCAGTCCTCATATGGTCATTTCCTGTTTACGGGTTGTGGAAAAACAAGATGGTCGCGACCAAAAGGCAGAACTGGAGGCTTCAGGACGTCAGTCGGCCGAGTGCGTCTCCTTCACCAAGAAATACACTTTATTCCACAGTAACGTGGCACAGCGTCACATTTAGCTGATACTTGTACTTCAAGCACCGGCCTGCAGCCAGAGGTCGTGGGGATCTCCGGTGGGCGGAGCTTCAATGGCGTGCAGCAGAGATCCTCCCTCCTGCTTTGAGCCACTGTAATAAAACGGGGATCAAAGGCAGATCACGTCCCCGGTGAGAGGGATGCAGAGAGCTGCAGAAGGCCTGCAGCGGCCTTTTAACACTTAATGACTATCAGAAGCAGCCCGTGTGTGCACGTGTTTGCGTGTGTGTGCACGTGTGTGCACGTGTTTGCGTGTGTGTGCACGTGTTTGCGTGTGTGTGCACGTGTTGAGCCCTTTGGGTGTGATTTACTCGTCTCACGGAGAGAAGGACCAGTAAGGACACACAGGACGTTCAGAGTGAGACGGGTCATGAAGAATAAAAGTCATTTGACGACTCTGCAACGAGAAACTGGTTCTGTCAGAATAACGGCCTTCAAAATAAAAGTCTGACAGTTCGGAAAGCGTAATAAAACAGTGACTTGTGACTGCGTTCTTGAGGAGTGCCAATGCAGATGTAAGCTAACGGCACAAAGCCATGACTGCGTCCATCATTCGTTCATAGTTTATCATATAAATAGACTTTATTTCCAAACTGGAGTTAAAGGTGTGAACATCAATCACAGAGCCCAACTTATAAAAGTAGTCGTACAATTAACAAAACTACATTTGAAAACAGCGTGATGGAAGGAAGACGATATTCAGTCTACACTTTCTTTGTGTACTGAATAAATCAATAACTATTTGTTTCAGTGAGAGATGGAGGAGCAGTCTGCTAAGAAGTCCAACCAGAAGTGCAAAATAGCAACAAGTGCAGAGTATGTGCATATGTAAAGTGTAATACGTGAATAAATAGACATGTACAGTAAGAAATAGTTGTGCAATATGAACAGTGATGGGGACCAAGAATAGCAGCACTTAGGTAAGAAGTGTATGATGAGTTTTATGTAAAGTGCCAGGCGTAAGTATTCGTGGTGGTAATAAGTGAGATGAAAGTGAAAGGAGGTATTAGTAATATTATATTTAAGAGATACAAAGCTCTTCTTCTGGAATGTTCACCGTCTTTGCTGCGTGCAGAAATACATTCATGAATACGAGATAATCCTCCCATCCGTGTTTGCCAGCCGCTTCTCTTCGTCGGGGCTGCTCTCAGATCTCCCTCTCACGTTCCAGAATGAGCATCAGCCGGTACAGGAACGACCTTCTGGGCGAGATGCAGGGACAAACAAACCGCTTTTCAATGCATTCAGTGGAAAACAAGCTCAAGAGAAACGAAAGCGACGACCTTTGACCTTTGAGGTCGCGCCCTCCTCCGGTTTCCATCCACGACGGAAGCAGCAGCGTTTCCCAGAGACACTTTGATGAAGAAGCCCCCACGTCCCCCCTCTCCCCCCCCCCCTCCCCCGCCACATGGCCCAACGCGATGAGACGCTCCTCATTACGCCACCTTCCATCGCCATGGAAACCAGCAACGGAGAAAAACCGGCGCTTTTGTACATTCCCTGAAAACATCCCTTTCTCTCCGCTAAGTGCTGCACTTATTCCCTCCCTCCCTCCCTCCCTCCCCCCGGTGACATCCGTCTCCCGCCTCCTCTCACTCGCTAAATCAGATTGTCTCAGTTACAGTTGTTATTTGTCCTCCTCGCAGGGATTAACCTTGTTTGCGTTGCGTTGCCTCGGGATAAACGAATGAGGCTGTGGAAGGAAAACGGATAAATAAAAAACCGGCAGGCGGAGAAATGCACGGACGTGGCGGTAACCAAAGGTTAGCTTAGCTTAGCTTAGACAAAAGTGCCCCGACCAGCAACCTTCGTGTCTCACTCATCAGCACCGACTGGTTTGATGACTTTTGTGAAAGTGGACCGATGAACCGCGGCTGTTTTGGGTTTTCGTGGAGATCAAATGACATCGATACAGTTAATGCTGCTTTCTGTCAACGGGGGTCCGGTGTCACTAGCGAGCTGGATAACGGGTCTCTGGAGGGACCCTTTGTACAAACACCACGGTACATTCAATGAACCGTGGCAGCTGATGCCGCGTAGATGGTTGTAAAAAGAAAAGATTCACAACCTTCGGATTCAGACCCAGAACGGAATCCTCCTTCAAATCCCAGATTCACCCACCTGGACGACGTGTCCCCCCCCAGCGGCCCCGCCGAGGGTCTCGTCCTCCTCCCCTCGGAGTAAAGACGTCCAAGAAATGGAACATTTTTGACTGTTGTGTCGTTTTAATTGCCGGGTTTAAAAACGCTTCAAAGACTTAAACCGTCGGTGCAGATTCATCAGCGGGTCTTGTGACTCCACGTTGGGCCGTTTTTAATTCCTTTAAGGGTTTTAATGGGTCAGAACACAAGTTCCACTTCCTGTCTGCCTCACTCTCATGAGCAGAGCGTTATCAGGCCACACACGCACACACACGCACACACACGCACACACACACACACGTACCAGCTGGGATGGACTCATTAACGTTGTGATGTTCCTTTAGATTTAACATAGAAAACTAAACAAAGCCGCCAACTAACAAACAAGAAAACAAGCGGCTCGTTAGAGGCTCCGCCTACACAACAA